ATTAAAACGCTTGTATGCAAGCAGAGCCTTTTCTTGCGGTGCTCGTTTTGGAAAGAAGGCGTTAAAAAAGGGCAGAAAAATCTTTGCTCACCTTAACTAAGGAATAAGCTAGACTTCAGTGTAGACCTCTCCATGCACAGGCTATCAAGTGCGTTCGGTTGTCAGAGCAAATCGCACTGGGGCACCTGCGTCAGTCTGTCAACTGTTTCCCGCCGGTTTTCCCCTGACTCGTCCCCAGTCGTCCTCATATAGCACACGCAAGCGTACGAGGTGGAGGAGCAGGGGATGATGGGAAGGGAGAAAGGGAGAAGACGACTGGGAAATCCTGTTTTCAAAATGGCGCACCGATTAATGGCAGAAGATAGTTAGAGAAGACCAGAGAACAAGCGAGCGTTACTACACTGCATGTAAGTGTTGTTTTGAGCAATTGAACGTTTTTACAAAAATAAAGCTTCTTATCATAAACAGAGACAGCTCAATTGTTGTTTTCTGTCGTTGTTTTACTTCTTAAGTATAATTTCTGCCTTCGTTGTCTTTTATCGTAGCACTGATTAGTTTGAGAATTTGTTTATTTCGCTACGTGTTTTTTCGGCGGGAATCTAGCAAAACTTGTCATTTTAGTACAGTTTTCACACTACCGTTGCTAACAATGGTCTCCATGAGCCATATTTACTGTAGAGATAGAGCTCGTTTCCATTGCGTTTGTCTGAATCACAGGGGATGTTTATTTGGGCCAAATTTGTCAAAATTTGAAAGCAAGCTTACTGTCATCAACCCGTGCTCTGTTCTCTGATAAAGCATGCTGTTTCAGCCAATCAGAGCGCGCGTTATATGGAAACTTTATTATAAAAAGAAACAAAGTGGCAAAAGATACGTTTTTCTTCGTATTCATTTTCGACAAGAAACTTTTACTGTAAATAGAAAACCCCTTTTCTACGTTTACTCGCGTTTTTGAGTCGATTGAGTTTGGCATTCGCCTACTTATCCTCCAGAATTCTATAGGAAAATTCATTGCCTGACTCGTGAATTCCACTTTAAATTTCATGCGAAAAGCAATTAACAGATATCGCACGAATCGCGAAAAAGCGGACCAAGAGAGCATGAAGAGTAAGAGAGTTAATCCCCCATATAGGCCCTATTCTTAGGGTAATCCGTCTCAAGATATTTCAGAGATGGTATCCAGTCGTAACGCGAATAATCAGTCTATTCAAGAGTTCAAGAATTCCAGATCACTTCTAGTTCTTATCACATTTGCGTGTAGCAATTTCAGGAAAGAGAATTTGCTATTTAATGGAAACCCCTTCACTAGAGTTGTCAGTTTACCCCTCACGACTTTTTAGTGCAATCGTAAATTGGAATCAAGAAATCAAGTTAACAAATTGTTTTTTGTGCGTCTGTCCTCTTATTGATGATAAATTGCGTCATAACATTGTCAAAGTGGCTGTGGAACCACGAGCCGCAGGTGAGTAGTTCCGCAATAAACTTCGACAATGTTATGACGAAATTTATCGTCAATAAGAGGACAGACGTATAAACAACTGACGTCAATGTGTTTTTCGCAATAACATCACCCCAAAATGGTCAAACGCCGGAAATAAATAAATGAGGGGAGAAGAAGCCATGAACTTGCCGTAAACAAAAATAAGTGAATTTTATTCAAAATGACGAGAACATTGTCANATTGCGTCATAACATTGTCAAAGTGGCTGTGGAACCACGAGCCGCAGGTGAGTAGTTCCGCAATAAACTTTGACAATGTTATGACGAAATTTATCATCAATAAGAGGACAGACGCATAAACAACTGACGTCAATGTGTTTTTCACAATAACATCACCCCAAAATGGTCAAACGCCGGAAATAAATAAATGAGGGGTGAAGAAGCCATGAACTTGCCGTAAACAAAAATAAGTGAATTTTATTCAAAATGACGAGAACATTGTCAGTAGCTTTTCTCGCTTTTTGATTGGCTACTTAAAAAAGTTCATAAAATCGCATTGGTTAAGAAGTTGACAGTTTGACAATTGAAAGTTGAACTTGAAAGCTTGCATGAATTAAAATTGTATTCGTGTGTACTCTTATTTTTTTTATTTGACATTTATTTTTTTTAACAGTACAATAAAATACATTACTTACAATACTACATACTGACACTAATAACAATAC